CAATGTACTTTTTCAGTTCAATAATATTGATCAACTGAAAAATGTACATTGAATCTTTCTTTCAGAAAAAAAACATCAACAAAGAATGACTGTTCAAAGTTAACAGCAGCACTGGGAAAAGGGGCTTATGGCCGTTTTTCACGCTTACGACAGCTGCAGCATCCCCATGATGAAAAAATTCAGGTGCTTGGCAACTGATTCATACTTATGATGGTTGCAGGGTCCAGAAATGGAGCAAACTCACTTAACCGTCTCACTCAGCCACATACATTTTGGGCTCAATGGTGGTCGTAGGTTGTGGGCTACCTGTACAGTTTTCTTTATGCACCTTACCCACCTCAGTTTCTCTAGAGCGGTCTATAAATAAAGGGCTGTGATCTCACTTCCACACCAAGGATTAAATTAGCTGAAACTCACTGACATCATCTAAATATCATCAGATACGACCTGAGCGGTGAAATGGGTAGGAGGTATGAAGAAAACCAACGGGTGCCTGAAAAAGGGAAACCAAGCGCAACTTTCCGACAACAAGAAGTAACCGCTTCTGAGATCTAAGAGCATAACAAGGCCTTGAAGTTAGAAGGGGGCAGCAAAGTTGCATGTGGGATTTTTACTTCTATAAATGTTGGGATTCTTCTTCCTTTGCCTTGTTGAAGTGCCTCTTGTGATTGGCTCTGCCTCACTCTGTCGTAGAACTCGGATACACAAACCTGTGGGAGGTTTATTTATAAACAAAGTTCCACACCCATCATCGATTGCTTCATTCTTCTCTTTGTTCCCCATCGCCTCGCCTAGCAACCATTTCCAGACCCAAAGCAGGGACCCCTCCAACTAGACACAAGGGAAAGGAGACCCTGTAGTACAGAAAGGTTTCACTAAACAAATATCCCACACTTTATTAGCTGCCCATCTCAACAAGAGGCTCCAGAGTAGTGGACGATATCGAATAAAAGTAAAACAGTTACGGGATTGGGGTATGGAGAGCCTGCAGCACTTAAGAAAACCCTCATCCGTATACCTGCCTTCCTAACCAGGGTGTTATAGGCATATCCATCGCAAAGGATCATTTCTACAGGGAAAACAGGAGGCAGGAGTATTTGATTTGATAATTAGGTAGGTAGGGATAGATAGATAGATAGATAGATAGATAGATAGATAGATAGATGATAGGTAGGGTGGGATAAAACAATGCATTAATGCATTCTTTTAATGCATTAATGCATGGGATAAAATAATGCATTAGCCTGGTTCCCAGTAGACTAGAACTCACAATCTCTTGGTTTCTAGCCAGGTGCCTTCACCACTACTCCTAGTTGGTGGCAGAGGAGGTTCTACAATAGGTTGCCTGGGGACCTAGAGAAGGCAGGGATGCAAACTAATGAATGCCAGCAGACTAGAAAGTGGGTGATCGCGGGTTCTAGTCCCACCTTAAGTCGGGAAAGCCGGTTGGGTGACCTTGGACCAATCGCTAGGAGATGGTGAGTTCTAGTCTTACCTTAGGGAGGAAAACCAGCGGGTTGACTTTAGCCAAGCAGTAGGAGACAGGGAATTCTAGTCCCGCCCTTAGGCATGAAGGCCAGGTGGGTGACTTTGGGCCAATCACCAGGCGACGGGGAGTTCTAGTCCCGCCTTAGCCATGAAAAACGGCTGGGTGACTTTGGGCCAATCACCAGGCGACGGGGAGTTCTAGTCCCGCCTTAGCCATGAAAGACAGCTGGGTGACTTTGGGCCAGCCCCTCCCTTCCAGCCCAGCCCACCTCACAGGGTTGTCGTTGCGGGGGAGATAACAGGAGGCAGTCAACACATGGGCTGCCCTGAGTTACTTGCAAAAAGCAGCGAAGGCAGGAGAGGAATAAAACCAAAACCTCCCTCGAGGGAAGGGAGCCTGCCTGAAGGGACCGGGGCGCCTGCATAGGAAGAAGCCGGAAAGAAAAGGGGCCCCGAAAGACGGCCTCCCCGCTCCCGCCTCACCTGAGGGGCGTCGGGGTCTCCTCACATGGCGGGCCCGCCGGAGGGAGCTCGGCCCTGGCCCGAGTGCTGCTTTCCCCCCGGCCGCCGCCAGCGCCGCCGCTTTCCCCCCCCCTCAGCCAGCAGCACCCGGAAGCGAATCCTTTCTGCGGACGGGGGGGGGGGGTTGGAGAGAGACGGGGGACGTGCGGTTCCGCTTCCGGGGCACCATAGGAAGGAAAAAAAAGGAAACGCCCCTTCGCGGGAGGGACGGTGAAAGAGAGGGCGCATGCGCGCGGAGAGACAGCCTCGCAAATCGATTCCCTTGCGCCCCTGGTGGACATTTCGTGTCCTGCTCGGAGCAGGTCTAACTGGGATTTTTGCATTAAATCTACACCTAAAGTGGTGTGATAATAAATATAATAAATAACAATATTGCAATACAATACAATATTATATATTATACAATATAAAAGATAACTATAATAAAATAACTATAATAAAATAAATATATAATTCAATATTATATAATATAAAATATAATAAATATAACACCTTGTGTGGATGCAAAATCAAGTTTTTTGTTCTGCTGACCCCTTTCCCCTCTGCAGGGGTTGTGGAGTTCATGGAAATGCTTTTTACTTTGGGGGGGAGGGTGTCTAAAGTTTATGAACTGATCCAGCCCAGCATTATTACGTCCTTAGAATCATAAACTCTTCCTGACTTCCGGGTTAATAAGTTCACAAGTCACTCTGCCTTGACATGTCAAGGTACAACTTGAGTTAACACGCAGGGTGTTTACATTTGTCGACCTCTGTGCTGTGCACTCTTTATTATCTTTTGGGCTAGGATAATAAAAAAAAATATTCTGCTTTTTGGTTAAAAAAAAAAAAAAAAAGGCACGGGGGCTTTAAAAAAATAAACAGACTTTTCTTCCTTCCAGATAGAGAAGTACCGATAAGTAACATTCACTGTTGCTATATACAAGTATAGCAACATTCGACAACGTTTAGCGACCGGTCAAAGTTACACGGGAAAGAGTTCGTTTAAAAATGTGACTTAGGAAACGTTTTTTTCATAGTTAACGATTTTTGCAGTATCCCCATGATCAAAATTCAAAGGCATGGCAGCTGACTCCTATTTATGATGGTTGCAGTGGCCAGGGAGCATGGATTACCTGTATGAGGTATTAGAATTAAAATTAGAATAACTTTATTGTCATTGTACAAAGAAACTGGATGCACCCCAGCAACTGTTCGCAATACAATAAAACCAAAGCACTTAAAAATGAAGATAAGAAAAATAGAATACCCACGTCTCCATTTGCAATTTGAGAGTACAATATCTATGAATATACACAAAATATACATCCAACACTGACTGTAATGCTTAGCTGAGTATAATACGCAAGAGATGGATTGTACTGTAATATGTTATTATACATCTGAAAGGGGTATTGAAATTTCACATCTTTTCATATCTTAATGAGGTAGTGACTTCGTGTTTATTTGCAGTTCGGATGGCCCAGGGAAAGAAACTATTTGTTAAGTCTAGTGGTGTGGGATTTTATTGACCTAAAACGCCGTCCAGACGGCAGCAGGTCAAAAAGATAATTGCCAGGGTGTGAGGGGGGTCTTCTATGATGGCCTTGATTCTGCTTTGGCAGCGGGACCTGGCTCTTTAAGCCAACTATGCAGGAAGGGGCTCCTTGGAAACAGCCACAATGGGGATGGGGGTGTTTCACTCATTTGTTATGCTTCTCTCTTTTGCCTCAGCCTACCAAAACAGGGCTTGCAAACAAGGTTTTTGTGAAATGAGCACTTTGCAAGCTCCAATTAATTTTTTGGCACCTTTAATCCAAGGGATCGGGTGGGGGGTGCCTGTGAAACACAAGGGGAAGAATTGTACACAGGTTCTGGCGTACGCTGCTTTCCCCTGTGTCTGAAAGAGAAACACGTCATCCTTTCTTTGTGACCGAAAGAGAGATTCTTATGGCACCGTGATTGAATTTTAAAAGGGAGGTTAGCCGAGAGGCCCCGGATTGAAGGCAAGAAGGGTGGCTGTTTTGTTTGGAAAGCAAACATTCGCTCCGGTCAAAGCCAGTTATGACAGCTGTGGGCAGGGCAAGCAACTCTGGAGATGGGGGGTAGATTTGGTTACCCTTTTGAAAATAAATGGCTGAATTCGGATACCCGTGTTGAAAAGGAGTGATTAAATGAGATCTGTTAGAATGGCCGGGTTCAGCTAAATGCCACTGCCGGTCATTAAGAGTGGCAATGCAAAAGCTTTCCGATGGCTTTGATTGAGCACATGTGATCTTCAGCTTCTTCCTATCAGCAGATCTCACCGATATTCAGAAGAGGTCTGCCGTCCAACGTAGAGGTGTCCTTGGGGTATGTTACTCTTAGCCGGATTTCTGAATTCTTTCAACCCAAATTGGGTTCCTATTTATTCAGAAATCAGCAACCGTTAACATTCAGTGAAACTGACTCCCCACCCACATTTTTTTTTTTTTGCTGTGTAAACAAACGTGCCCAGCAAAATACCAATAACATTTATTAAAACATGTTATACAAAAAGAGCAACGGACTCTTCTATAAGAAGAAAAACAAAGAAACAGGAATGTCACATAAACCACGCTGTACATGATAAAGGACAGCAGAATTATACCTCCCACCTTTGTGATATAATACACAGCAGTTCACAGATCAGTCCTAAATATTATAAGTGACCCGATGCTTAACGGGTAAATGTTTGTAGTGGAATGAAGGAGGTTTGCTTGTTTGCAAAAAAACAAAGAAACCTCCCATCACATTTATTCTAGAAATATGGAGGAAAACCAGAAGGGGAGTTATAGAGGAGGGTGAGGGAAAGCAGCAAGAACCAACTTAGGATGCAGGCTTTAAGCAAAGGAGAAGCATGTCAATGTAACACATCAAAAATGTTAATATACATTTAAATCCTCCAATTTCCTTTCCCTCCCCTCCCGCCTGGGGGCTTAGCAGCTAAACTCTTCGATTCTGACTCATCCATAGATGAATTTAAAACAAAACAAAAAAGCACAAATCCTTTCTGGGTGGTTTTTAGTATTCTATAATCCTAGATAAAACAAGTATCTTTCTTTAAAAAAAATAGACTCTCAGGTTTAGAAATATCATCTGCCCAAAAACATGTTTAACATAGATGCCCTTTAAAAAAAACAACAACACAAAAAGAGGCCAATGGTGAATTTTACAATATAATATTTACAGTCTCGGATTTGGGAAACATGCCATGTTTGCATGCCTCTAAAATCCTTTAAGGATTAGAAATAAGAATACATTTCCCAAACCCAGCAGTTTTTGCCTTCGCCGGAAAGCAGACTATGGATTACTATCCAAATTGCACCAGAATGGAGGGGAAAAGATTACCCCCCCCCCCAGCTTAGCAGCAGATATCTGAAAGAAAAGGGAGATTGCAAAAAGGAACGGCAGGTAAAATTCATGGGGTATTTTCCTTTCCCGCAAAAGGAAAATTTTCTAGAGAAAATTTTAGTTTTGTTAGTAAGATGGGCTCAAAGCCAAGTGTGCCATTATCACGCCAGCCCCTTCATGAGCACACTGAACTGACAAATTGTCCACAATCCCTTCTCTTGGATTAGTTGCAAGGCAGGCGTCACTCATGAAGATGTACAGTTGGAATTTAGCACAGCACAAGAGAGGGAATACGTGCTGCAATTCCCTTACCATGCACAGAATCCTGGCCTATGTGGAAATAACCTATTTCTACACTTCGGGCATTTTATCTAGTTTTCCTTAATTGCAACTGCCATCTCGAGAGGCGAAGGAGAGGACTATCGATTGCACACCAATTCTGCCTGGAACTGTTGCCAGCAGATGACAAATATCTTAAGTTTTATTCCACATGGGAAACAACGAAAGAATTGTCTCTCTGTTCCTATCTGAAGCATCATGTTCAAAGTGCACAAGCATATCCCCAAAGATTTTTGTTTTTTTTCCAAAAGGTAACTGAACCTTCTTGGGGTGTCCCCCCCGTCCCCCCGAAAACGTTCTGCTTCTCATCCAAGGAGCTTCTTCAGTTCTCTCCAAGAAGCTTCTAGGATCATTTTAAAGGGAAAAATAAAAACCAAGAAAGTCCAATTGCCTTTTGAAAAAGAAACACCTTTGGGACAACCATGAGCTGAATGGTTGAGAATTTCCCTACATGTCCAAAATCATAGTTCTTCCAGTAACTGTGTCTGGTTTCCACTGTCAACTTTTGGCCAAGAGAAGTGTTAGGGTAGCATACAATCCCTTTCTGCATTAAATTACATGAAAAATGCAGCATAACTATCTTTGCATATTAGCTCAATGGCAGTTAAGAGAACCATTTCCCCATGGATTAAACCTCTGGCATTTTGACCTGTGTTGATACCCTCCAATTGCTCAGGAACTAACTTTCCCTCACACACAAAAAAACCATACATACATCCATGTATAATATTTGAAGTTAAATATAAATATACATGGATGGATGGATGTTTGAGGAAAAGTTAGTTCCTGCACAATTGGAAGCATCTATATATAAATGAAAAATTGGGGAGATTCTGAGAGATTAGAGAAAAGGCCTCCAGAACATTCTAAGGCAGTGACATATTTTTTTTTTTTTTTGCTTCTGTTTGATTTTGGAAACAAAACTCAAAAGAACCAGATCCTTAGGATCTTACTTTTCCTCAACAAAACAAAACGAAACCCAGCTAGTACCGACCCTTGTGTAAACACAAAACTTCTCAACCTTATAAAATTTCAAACAAGAAATAAGAAAAAACAGACCAAACAACATGAATTAGAAATTAAACCAGAGGGAATATGTGTGTGTGTGTATACACGTTCTAAAAATATTATATATATTTTTGTTTGTTTGCTTTGCTTTGCTTTAAATACAAAGTGCTTCTGTACATTAGCAAATTACAGTGTTGGCAAAGAGATCCCTGCTGACGTGTTTTCTAGGGTTCAAGTCAGTCAATGGAACTCAGAATCTTGGAACTCAAAGAAGTTGGACAGAACTTCAGAATTGCCTTGGAGTGCGAGACGGGTGGCAAATAAATTTGATAAGAATAATTAACAATTTGATGGTGATGATAATAAGTCTTGCCCTTGAAAATTACCCAGCAATGTGCTTTTGGAGACAAACTGAACCCACCCACTCACCCTTTGGTTCTCAGCAAGCAAGCGCTCACACCTCTCCTTCACTAGCTTCAATTCAAACACCGCTAACTGGGGAGCGCCGTCAAAGGAGACCACCACCCCGTCCTATGCATTCCCGCCGAACCTGAAAAGAATCGATCCAAATTCTACTGAGATGAATTCCAAGCAAGAAGCGACCTTGGCATTCCTATCGGAGAGAACCCAAAGCACAAATTAAACCGCAGGAATTGTTAAGTAGGGAGCAAGTACCACGAAGCCAACTGGCTGGTCTGTTTGCAGTCTCAGGGCAGGGATCCTCATGGACACCTTAAAAGGGGGTCCTGCCCCCCTACCCGGGTTTATTTGGAACCCACCCCCTCAAAAGCAGCAAGGCCTCCCGCACGAGGCTGTGGGGACAGGTGGCCATTCCGCTTGTCCAAAATAAGCCATGGTCTGATCAAGGGCTGTGCCGACACGGCCGCTCGCCCGGTTAAGCCATTCGTGGCTCTCCCAGGCCCCACTCCCTAGTTCATTTTAGCAGCGTTCTGCTCCATTTTGCAAGTCTGGTAAGATTTGGTGCAGGAAGTGACGTGCCGGTGGAAACTGTCCCTCCACATGAACCTTTTCCCACAGATGTTGCACTCGTACGGTTTGATGCCCGTGTGGATCTTCATGTGGCCCACCAGGTGGTGTTTCATCTTGAACTTTTTACCGCACACGCCGCAACCGTACGGCCGGAGTCCCAGGTGCATGCCCATGTGACGGTCCCTCTGGCTTTTGTGGGTGAAGCTCTTGCCACACTGGCAGGGGTAAAGTTTGTCGGTGGCCGAAAAGCCGGAGAGGGCGCTCTCCTCCTTGATCCCCGAGGGAAGGTCCACGTTTTCTCCGTAACCCGAAGCCTCCGGCCCATGAAGGCTGAGAGGCGCCCCGTCGTTCCTTTCCCCGGAAAACTCTTCCATGGAAGAGCCGTAGAAGTCGACATGCTCGTCGTAGTTGCCCTCGCTGGCCGGGTCCCCAAATTCCACCCCCACTTTCCTCTCGTTGGCCCGGAGACCTTCCCCAAGGCTGGTCTGGACTGAGCGGTCCGGCTGAATGACGTTCCCCGACTCAGAGACCTGGTGCTCGTCGTGCATTTCCACCCCTTCGCAGTCCTGGACGAACCTCTCCGTCTTGACGTGGATCCATCGCTTGTGAGACATGATGCTGGGCTTGATGTACAGAGGCCGGGCGTACGGATAGTCGGTGCTGTCGCTGACGCCTTCTTCTCCATCCTGGCTGGCCATCCCAGTGCTCAGCCGGTCATGTTCTGTGGAAGAATTGCTTGGGAGGTACTCGTGTTCGGTCAGTTGGGAGAGCAGCTCGTCCTTGGAGCTCTCCTCTTCGTTTTCCCCGTCCCTCAGTTCCTGCACTTTGTGGAAATCCGCCTGGCCTGCTCCCCCCAGCTCAAAGCTTTCCGCCAGGCCGTTGTAGCTACTACTGCTCGGAGACTGGTGGTCGCTGGCTCGGTTGAGCTTTTGGCAGAGGACTGAAGGGTTTCCTTCCAACACCTCTGTGCATTTGTCCACCACGTGCCACATCTGGAGGAAACTGGCCGCCGTCAAGTAGCTGACAATTTCCGGGGCGGGCATGACGAGCCGGCCCGTGTAGGTCGACAGGAGGATATTCTCAAAGACTCTGGGGTTCATGACGTCAGGGAGGACGATCCGCCGGCTGTTCTTCAGCAGCACCTGGTCGCAGAAGTAAGGGGAGCTGGCGGCCAGGACGGCCTTGTGGGCTCGGAAGAGGTGGCCCTGGACCACGATGGAGACATCGCACAGCTGGCCTTGCTGGCGCTGCTGGTTGAGCTTCTGCAGGACGGTGCTGCAGAAGTCGGGGAATTCGACGCGGAAAGAACTCGCCCCCGGCTCCATTTCATCAGCGAGCTGCAAGAGAAGAGAGCGCCTGGTTTTAAAGAGGAAAGAAAGTCGAGAACTTGCCTAATCGGGAAGCCCCCAGGGAAAGCATGACCGAGGTTTGCAAGGCAAGAGCCAAGCTCAGAGAGCACCAAGGACCCCACAATCCTCCTCTTTTTTTCTCCATACACCCCACTCCCTTCTAGAGCTGATGAGGTTACCTAATGACTTACAGAGTCATAAAGGTGGGATAAAAAAAAATGAGTGAAGAAATAATAATAATGATAATAATAAATAAAATAATAATAATAATAATGGCAGCAATCCGTATCAACCATCAGAGCCAGTCAATCATATTTGTGATACATTTTTAAATGTCCAGTTGACTAAGTTTCATGTTTAATGATTAAAAGTTTACAATAATGAACCCTGTATCTCTCTGGTGCTGGGACGAATTGTAACAAGACAACACGCTGTTTAGATAGACAATTAAACTGTTGCTCTTTCTATATATAGCAAAAATAATTTTAAAATAATAATAGATAATAATAATAACAACATCAGCACCAGTCAATGACATTGGGGATGCATTTTTAAATGTTCAGTCGACTTGAGTTTCATGCTTAATGAATAAAAGTGCATTAATTAATGCTTTAAATAATAACAATAACAATAACAATAACAATAATAATAATAATAATAATAATACCACTAGCCAGGGCATGTCAGTGCATCAATAATAATAATAATAATAATAATAATAATAATAATAATAACAACAACAACAACAACAACAACATCAGCCAGGGCATGTCAGTGCATTAATAATAATAATAATAATAATAATAATAATAATAATAATAATAATAATAATAATAATAATAATAATAATGCTACCTGAACAGTTCCTAGGTCCTTGGTTAGGACTCGAGCTGTTGAGTTACCAACCAGCCCCAAAAGCTGTAATCTCACTAAAGATTAACTAATAATACTAATACTAATAATGATGCATCCTGCTTCCCTCCATGTAGACTGCTCCTGCCTGTGGAGGCTCTCTCAGGGATATCTTTCCCCTCCCTCCTCCCCCCCAGGCCCGGGGGGGCCCCCCCCCCCCCCACAACGAGAGCCGCCCCTTCACCTGCCCCCGGAGAAAACAGCCTCACATGGCGGGCGGGCGGGCGGCCTCCCCAGGCGACCCCGCCGCGCGTCCTTCGCCCCCTTCTCTCTCTCTCTCTCTCTCTCTCTCGCCCTCGGAAAGCCAGACCCGGAAGCCCCGGCCTCCGCTTCCGGTCCCCGCGCCTCCGCTTCCGGCCTATAGAGTAGGCAGGGAGAGACGATAGAGTAGGGCGGGGACGGAGTGGAACCTCCGAGGGCGCTGGGCGGGTCTTCACCCCCAACACCCCCCCCCCACCCCTTGCCAATCGCCTAGGCTGCGCCTATTATCCACAGCCATCGGGGGCGGAGCAACATGGGTCGGGAGGGGAGAGCGGCCAAATCCAACCGGGCGCCCGGGAGGGTCTCTTGGGTGGCACCATTTTTTGGGGGGGCGGGGGGGGGGCAGCAAAAAGGCAGGATGGGGATCTTGGTTTCGGTTTCGGTTTCGAAATAGAGGCTCCTATAAATAGGGGGCCGAATTCTGCCCTTCCTGGCCTGTTGGAAAGGCCTTCTCCCATTTGGGGGCGCGGGGGGGGGGGGGGGGGGAGTTTGGGGTGGAAAGGAGGGAAATGTGGGCCTGAGGGGGCGGGGGAGACGTTTTTCTCCCCCCCCCCCCCCCCCTGCCACATAAATTTTTTCCACCATTTTATTGATTACATTTTTTTGCGGCCCATCTTATTCGCCCGATTTTTTTCCCTGTAAAACCAGGAAAGCTCCCGTTTGGGGACACCCCCCCCCCCAGCCCCCCAATCTTACAGTAGCTTCCTTGCTTGTTCAGGAAGGGGAAAAAACAACCTTGCGGGTTGGTAGCCCAGAACCTGCCAGTCCTCTTGTTGCTGGCGTTGAATTCCAGCTTGTCTCATTTAGACAATCAAAGAGGCACTTTGTGATCCCTGGCACCGGGAGAGGCTCCCAGAAATGCCCACGGCGCTTTCCCCCCTGTTGTCGTTATTTAGGAGAGTTCAAAGTAAGGCTTTGATCTATTCTCAGCTTGTGAATTGCACCTCTGACATCTTGGAAGTGTTGGGGAATTTGCTCTCGGGCTCACATGCTGCGAATTGGAGTCTCTGGTCTCGTGGTGGCATGTTTCTTCCTGAGAAGAAGACCGAAGTGATGGAATTTCCCATCTCCCAGTTAGGGGCCCTGGCCTGGTTCAATCAGAACCCAGCACGCAAAGGGTTTTCCTTCCTTCCTTCCTTCCTTCCTTCCTTCCTTCCTTCCTTCCTTCCTTCTCCTCTTGAGGTTATAAACCTATTCTGTATAATATATTGTATGAAAAAAACTTACAAGAATATTCCTTCCTTCCTTCACTTCTTGAGATGGATATAAACTAATTCAATAACATACTGTATCTCCAACAGGATCATGAAAGAAAACTGCTAAGAATCTTTCTTTCTTTCTTTCTTTCTTTCTTTCTTTCTTTCTTTCTTTCTTTCTTTCTTTCTTTCTTTCTTTCTTTCTTTCTTTCTTTCTTTCTTTCT